ATTATAAAGTTTCCCCACGTTCAATTTTAAGTAAATGAAAACAGAAGCCCTTTGATTATGATCTATCTTATTTTGTCCAGATTAAGTAATCTAGGAATCTCTGACATTAAAAAAGAAAACAAAAAGAATCCTAATCTTTGCATCTCAAAGTACAGCTCCACAATATAAGGGACATATGGGAGTTTAACACTAAAAACGAACCACATTTTTCTGACTCATTTTTACAGTTCTGCAGTGTCCCCACACTGGTATTGAGATGGACAAAAAAAAAATTCAATATATCATGTAGCTAGACTGTGGACACCTTTTTTTTGCAAAATCTTGAGACAAAAATGACAAAGCAGATGCAGAGAGGAGTAATATTAATTTTTTGATATCTTGTACTTACGGTAACTTTAGGTACAGATTAAATGCATGATCTTATTGAGTTCACACAGCAAAGTTATAAGCACAGAGTAATTGTGTCTGATACCAAGCATATAACTCGGTTCTGTTTATTTAAAACACCCAATGCAGTCAGTGCATTTAAGTAATGTGTTGATATCTGCACATAATGGACTCAGTTGTAACCATCAAGCAGAACTACTTCTTGGTGCTGCAGTTAAAATTTTTAGCAATAAAATTCGAATAAAGGTGACTGCAGCTCTTTGACACATTAGCAAAATATGTGACTTGCCTATCAGTAAAATGTATGCATCTGTTAAAACGTCAGTTTAGCAGGACAATGCATTTATGTCAAGGGGTCTAGTTTGTCTATATGTGTGTGATTGTGTGTGAAGAGAGAGAGAGAGAGAGAGAGAGAGAGAGAGAGAGAGGAAGGAAGGCTGGAGCCGAGAATAAGGTCTGTGCAGCTAACTGGTAACGCAACCGGACTCAGTGGCTCAGCTTCCCATTTGAAGAGACGGAACCATCTGTGTGGCACAGGATCTGTTTCCAGGAGATAACAGCATTTTTAATTTTGCGGATAATGTAAGGAGACAAACAGAGCAAACGTGACAGACATGCCTTCCTTCCCACTCTGCGACTGCAGGCCACAGCTTTGCAGCACTTCCTAAGATTTTTCAAAGCGAAGACCTCTTTGGAGTGGTCCATGTCCCCTTTCTGTGCTTGTTTACCCCTTCGCTTATGATAAAGGCCTTAGTTCAAGGCAAAGGGGAAAGGGAGGGATTCACTATTCAAGGTACCTGGGGTTATATGAAGTTCCCGTTTTCTCCATTGGCCTGTCCTTTTGGATTGATTACAACCAAGCTCAGTGCTACTGTAGATTAGCCCAGCTGTTTCCTGAATCTGGCTCTGATCTGAACACTTTCTACCATAAAGTAGAGGACGAATAGGGCAGAGAAAGAGAAGGCAAAGAAGGTGAATGGAGGGTTAAAGGTCAGCGGGCATGCAGGGAAGTGAAAGGTGAGGAGAGAGAGCAGGAGGTGAGTCTGGCAGGAGATAAGGAAGGGAGGAGGAGGAGGATGCATTTTTTCTCTTTGCATGTAGCTTTCAGCAAACTCTGTTGTAAAATTGGTTGATACATTTCTTGGATCAGGATTGTTAATCTGGAGAAATCCTGATTTTATGTGTAATGAGTTTTCCATCTGCGCACATCTAGCTCAAAGAGAAGTATAAAGAGAAGAAGAGGGCTATTCCTAACACGATTGTGAGTCTGCTTGGCCTCCGCCCCCTGCTTGGCTCCCACGCTGAACCGTCAGCAGGCCAAGCACCCAGAGAGTGTGTTTCTCATTCCATCAGAAGTTGGGAAGCTGCCTCGCTTCTCCACTCTGGTCTCTGACATTCTCTATCTCCCTGGAGAGGCTGGTGAGCCTTGTCGCTGTTATATCAAACACATGTGGACGGGGCAGAGCAGACAAACACACACATTTGCAGCAAGAGACGAGGCCCGTAGCAGCCAGAACCTGACTGTTCTTTCTCAGCATGAGTCTATTAACAGCGCAGGATGGCAACTTCATACATTACTGCCAAATACACAAAATAGAGATTGCTCCTTTCATGTGGACTTAGAAGCTCCATGTTATTTGTAAAAAAAAAAAAAACAGCCAATTTGGACTGATAACCACTAATAACGGCCAGGTAACGATTTATCAAATTCAAAACTGGTGAAAAAAACTGTAAGACCATAGCATCAATATCACAGCCATCCAACTCCAGTTGAATAAAGACTCTCTTCAGCGTCTCTACTGTTTTTCAAAGCTTGCACTCAGACCTAACTATGCAAAATGATTTCAACATTTAGAGAAAATGTTTTAACATAAGAACTTATATGACCACCCCACTCAAATCTAGCACTCTCTAGTTGCTTTTTCACAAATAAAAAGCATAAAAGAAAGCATGTATTCAAGTGACAGGACTGAGTAAACTTTCTGACCTTAGCTGATAAGAGGACAAATAATCCCCTTCATCTTGATTGGGGTTTAAAGCAGGTGGAATATTTGCAAAATTTAAACAAAAGCATGACACATTCAATTATGTTAGCCACCTTGTTTTTGTTTTGTTTTTCTTGATATTAGATGCATGTTTTTTAATTTCAACAGTGGATGTTTGATTACTTGATAGGACGGATACGCAGCATAACTTTACAACATGCAATTATTGCACTTCAGTCTTTCTCTCTGTGACTTTTACAGAGCACTGTCATTGGTAGCAGGTGTGGGAATCTATGGCACTGAGTCCCCATCCAACAGGGTGAATATCTTATTGGAATGCAAGGCAGGAATTGCTGACACTTGGAACATTACAGCTAACATAGATTGCATCCCAAATAGTGCTTTGCAATAACATCATTGCATGCCATGATTTGCAGCCCTAAAATTTGCTTTTTTACACTTTGTGTCTCTGATTTAACCACAGAACTACTGACTGGGCAGTCCTATAATGTCATAAAGAAATGAGAGGAAATAAAACATTTAAAGTAATTATTCATTAGATTAAATTTTACCATGAAAAACCCTATAGCTATTAATGCTTGTGTAAATGCCTTAGTAATACAAGGATGTTTTTTTGTTGTTTTTATCAGTGGCCAAATTGGCTCAATCATTTCCTTCTTTGCCACCAACCAACACCCACAGAGATGGCTGCTAAGTGGAGAGTCTGCAGCTTCATGTGCCATTCAGAAAGAAAGGGCTGTCAGTTCTTTCCAGAAGGTGACAAATGTCAAATATAACAACTCTTATATCTGTTTGTTGACTGACATAAACAAATAAAAACAAAAGCGCACACCAGCCTGTTAAGTTTGGCTGCTTCTTCCCTTGTTTTGGCCCAGGTGTCTTCGCTGTGCTGACCACCTGACCAGCTCGGTGCACGCTCACGTCTCCCGCCCACCCAGAGCCATCTGCTCGGCTCATTAATTAGGAGGCAGCCGGTTTCACCTGCACTGCCCGCATTCAGATCACAATAATTAACCACACACAAAGCTGGGCTCAACAAGCCCACGCAATCATATGGTAAACACAATCAGAGCTGCGACTCAGATCCTGCAGCCATTAAGAAAGAGGATAGAGATGAGTCTTTTTTTTATTATTATTTGCACAGAAACCTTTATCTTTCAGCACCACCCTTGTTTCTGTTTCAAACACAGATCCTGTAGCAAAAATATTACAACTTCAAGAGTTAAAAATAAAATGCAATCTTTTTATGAAACAGTATGTGACTGACTCTTCTGACATCCTCTGAAGAAAACAGGTTCCTTATTTGAGTCTGTTGGCATGTTTCCGGTTTATAAAAAGATAAGCTATCTGAACTCTGCACCTGTGGGTGGATGGGAACTGAATAAACACTCTGCAGGTTTGGGGTCATAATGAATGGGCTGCCTTTGAAGAGAGAGCTCCTCAGTGATGAAGAGGGGACATCTGCTTCAGCAGGCGGAAGGCCCTCCTGATCAGACGGAGGAAGAGATGCTCTCTTGGCGGTGATGAAGGAGATATAATGTGCGGTGAGGCAGGGTGTCTGCACTGCGGTTTCACCTCTGCAACCTCCCCATCTATTGTTTGAGACTATTATCAACTCTTCAATTATTCAGATGATATTTACCAGGGCCAATTATACAGGGTTGTGTCCTGCAGAGAAAATGGCCAGAGTGTTTTACTGCTGCACTTAGAGGAAGAAGTTTGCTGCTGAAGCTGTTCAAGTGGTGAGGCAGTGATGGAAACCTTCATTCATTGCTTATGTAAACCTGTTATAAATCTTTTGAAATATTCCAGAGCTGTAAACTGTTAATATGTTAAGGTGAAATTCTGAGGTTTTTGGCCTCATTAGCCGTATCAGCACAGCAATACAAAGAAAACTCAACCAGAGAGGATTAATGTCCCTCTGTTGTACGTTTCTACATAAAAGCGGGTGATGATGCACTACAACAGAAAAGGTGGAGGGGGCTACATTGGATGCATCGCACAGTTCAGCCCAGAGTAAATGACCACATTTGTCCTCTCACACCCATCACCTTTGTGCAGCATGGATGGACACTGAAATCACAGAGAGGGGGGATGTTTGGTGTCATCACTTTGTCTCAGCATCTCTTTGATGTGTACAGACTGCTAGGACAAAACAACTCATGACCTCCTCCTTTGTCTTCCGCTTTTCAGACTCTCAAAATCTGCACACAATACTTAAATAAAACAAATTAACCGAGAAAGCGTAAGATCTTTAAAGGCGGCAAAAAATCTGCTATTTAATTGCTTCTTTTAATAACATTTCTTTGTGTATGCACAGGTAGGCTACCGGTATATCATTCTGGTCTTTATAGCTGTACATCTGCTAAGCAGCTTCATCTTAAGAAAATGTATGAAATGCATAAGATTAGGCAACTTAAAAAGTATCATCCCAATTACCTTAACAAGCTTCTAACCAACGCCCAGATCAACCTGAAAGTTTAAACTTGACCTTCTGCCAAACATGAAACACAGCTTGCATTTGATATATTCATCTGAGCTAGAGGTCCAATAAAAATCCTTTGTTTCCTTACAGTTTGAGTGTGCAGGTTTTTTTTTTTTACTCACTTTGTGAAGGTCGAGGTCAAGCTGAGCGACAATCCACACAAAATAGCTTCTTAATGGGACTTTTTATATCGCTTCAATCCTCATTGTTTTGAAAAATAAAAAAGTAAAAAATAAAAAATAAAGCCTTCAATGTGCTATTCCCCTATTCCTCTACGTTTAAAAATATATAATCATATGACTTTCCTTTGGGCGCTGGGTCCAGGGTAAATAGGTCTTAGGCTGTGAGGTATTTATCTTCTTAGTAAAAGATATCAGAAAAAAAAGAAAACCAAGACTTTTATATCCTTAGAAAACAAATGTTTTTGGTTTTTCAATCTGAGATAAATATCTAATATTTGTTAAAGCAGAAAAGCTTTTAGGGAATCAGAACTTGTCCCACTTCAGATCATCTCAGAGAGACCAAACATCACAGTGTCATTTCCACAGAAAAAAAGGCTCCAAACAGTTCCCCTATTTAACATAAAAAAAAAAAAAACAATAAACTTGTTTCTCTAAGTCCTTAATTCCTCACCATGTGAAGTCACATTAAGATGCAGGGCTGCAGGGAGCGTCTATCATTCCTCTCCGAAACAACTTTCCAGTCCTCTCAGTCCAGCCTGTTGTGTCAGGAGCAAGTTCTCATACATCCAAACGGCAAAACGTGAGTTTTTATTGTTATTTTCCTGTGGTTTTGTTTTGCAGCCTGCGGACAGGCTGCTCCACCTCCACGTTTCTCTGCGCTGGTCCTCCTCCTGCGACGCGCCGATCCTCCGCCGAGCTGCGCGCAGATGGTTGTCTGTTTAAACCTTCACTTCCAGGGGGAAACAAACAGCGCAGTCATCGGAGCCGATGGGGTGAACGGTTCTTTAGACGCCAATACGCGTTTGTTGATGGTTTTGGGGACTTGTTATGTTCTCGGTGATGAGTGGAGCCCGTGGATGACTGTGCGCAGTAACCGCGGAGCTCTCCTCCTCCTCTTCTCCGTGTCCTAGCTGCTGCCTTCTGTCTGCGTTTAAACACCATCTGGAGCTCCTAACCCTCTCTCTCTCTCCCTCTCTCCCTCCCTCCCTCTCTCTCTTTTTTCTTTTGGGTATCCTATCACACGAATAATAAAAATGGCAACTATTGCGAAGGTGCTTTTATCAAGCAGAGGAATTTAAACTTATAATAAATCTGTTAAAACGAGATTTAAAAATGTCAATTTAAAAATGTCCTGTAAACTGTAAAAAAATAAAATAAAAAAATTCAAATTTAAATGTAAATCCCAGAAATATAACTTTTTTTTTTTTTAATCTGAAACTGTTTAATCAACAAACCCGATTTATTTATCAGTCTAGACCCGCCAGGAAACCGAGCCAAACGTTTGACCTTTCCGCCGTCTGCCGGTAGGGGCCGCTGTTTCCTCATATCAGCTCGTTTAGCAGGAGCGCTCTGAAGGTTTTATTTACTTTATCTAACTTTTTAATGACGGCTTTCTGGAAGCCGACGGGATGCAGAAAGAATGTGTCTGCAGGCATGCGTGTAAACAGTGAATACTGGCCTGTAAATATGACATTCTTTCACAGTTTTCAGACACCATAAAGAGTTACTTCAGTGAGCTGATATGAAAAATGGAGATTAAGAAGGACAGCAGAAGCAGAGCTGGGTTGGTTAATAAAGATCCTTTACAGTAAAAACCATATCTCAGATCACTCCAGATGGGTATTGCCTTTATTTCTATTGTACTTTAAGTTATAGTTTCCTTACCTATATAAGACATATATTGCTGTGGATTTGTAGAAAAGATAATGGACACTGAGAATACTAACTTATTAACAGCTAGAACAATTAAAAAAATCTCAGACTGAAAATGTACTTATCAGTTGGACCTGAAGCTATTTTTACCACTGGGTATCACTAGTTGTTTGTCAGCCACAAAACCTTCACTTTCCTACACTTCAGTTATATTACTGTATCAGTATACTGGTTTAAAGAAGCAACATTTTGTCGGTGACTGTCATTTTGTGCAAAACAAACAAACAAAAAAACACGTACTAGTGCTTTACCAGATTTTGCAGATTTCCATCAGCTCTGTGGACTATATCCTCTTTAGCACAATAATATTTGAGCTGCTCAGTTGAGTAAAAGGCGATAAACTCACTTGTTCTTCTGCCTAGCAACCAGTATATCAATTTTCTACAATCTTTATGCTTGCAGGGAAACAGGACAGTTGATGTAGATTGCTGTGGGGTACCTTCATAGGAGTGCATAAGTTCATCAAACTGCAATAGAGAGGGGAAAAAATGGACAGGTACAGAAGGCATAGGGGGATTGACACTTAAAACTCATTTAGAGTTAACAATTAAGTGTGCATGTCTTCAGACTGTTGAAAGAAGATGGATTATCCACTGGGACATGTAAACTACCCCAAATAGGACCCCTTAACTTCTTGCTGCAAGGCATTGGTACTAACAAATATTGCGCTGTTGTTCAAAAACAGCAAATGTAGTAATGCATCCTGGGTAGGTAAAAATGTAAGTTTGCAATGTTTTAAATGACAAAAATTAGTTGAAGCTGTGAGTCCATCTGAAAAGTCTTTAGTCAATTTATTTTATATCAGATTTATTGTGCTTTTACTGGCAGCAATTTTTATCAAAGAACATAAATAGAAAGGAATATGAACTATACCTTTAATATGTTTTTTTTTTTTTACTATACACTGCAAAAATGAAATTTACACACACTCCAAGCATGCATCTTGAGCTTAGATTTAAAGAAGGGAAGGTTATTGAGGGAAGCCTATAATATAATTATCTTACAGAGTTTAAAGAGCCAACAAACCAACCCTGGTCTTCCCTTATATTTTACTACAGAAGCCACATCTTCAGTCTTTATACACAGCAGTCCAGTCAGGTGATTCTTTATAGTTTTTGAACTGTGGGATAAGTGTTGAATTAACAGGCTGCCATTATTCATTAATCTGCATTTATTCCACTCCCAGAAAGTCACCGTTAGAGGGGTAAATAAAGTAAAAGAAAAAGACAGAACCTCCCTTAAGAAAATACCAATTATCCCTTTGACCATCAATAATCGTCTATCAAACTCTAACCAATACTTTGATTAGCTCTGCAGGAGTTATTTGTGGGGTTTCAAGAAGAGTGATTTTATGTAAAATATAATTCATAATAACATATTAATATATATATTTTTTTACAGGTATTGGATATCATTCAATTTAATAAGAGATACCAGCCAAAACATTTTGGATTAAAAACAGGAATATGAACTGGAGTTTTGCTAAAGGGCGAACAAAATATATGAATTTAACAAACATGCAGATTTTGTTATTATTGGACCTTCTAGTGTTTTTATGACCCATGAAACCAACTTTTAAGCTAAAAATGTTACAAAGCTTTCAACACACACATTCCTTATTTGTTGAAATAGCAACAGAGACTTTGTCCTTCCCTTAACACAAGCAACATTTGATAACACCATGTCATGCTCAATTGACTATGTCAGCCTTTATTGGCATCAAGGTGACTAAATTGCCTGCAAAGAACAAAGCGTCTGAGTGCAAAACTTTAATTGATCTGCCAAGTTTACAGAGTTTTAAACAGCAGAAAACTGCAGTAGAAAAAAAATAATCTAAAAGGTCTCCAGAGAGGAAGATAAAATATAGATTTTAGACACAGAAACAGACAACCAACAGAATTAATGATCTTTAGAAAATATAAAAAGCTCCACGTTTTAGCTTCTTATTGAAGCTTTGAGACAACCTTATTAATTGCCAAAATGTATGACTTGTAAGCATATAAACAGATCTATTAGCCGGGCAAACAGAAAGAAACAAAGAGAGCTAGAGAAAAGGGCAGGTACAGTACATCTGCTGCCGCTGTAGTGAGAATCCTCCACCTGTCCACACTGTTCTGTTAGGCCCTTTGCTCCACCCGCCTGCCCTCTGCCAGACACGCACACATGCATGCACACTGCCATGAAGGGGGGCAGAAGACAAAGCTGACACCGTCCTGACCCTACCTGTGTCTAAAAAAACAAACAGAACCAGCTTGTAAAGTACACACAGGCAGCTGCTGAGCCCCGACACCAGTCTCACCAGCCTCCAATAGGCTGAACATGAACACTACCTTTATGAGGATAAGTTACCTGCATCCACAATGAGAGAAAATATCTTAAGGTAAAAAAATGTCTTATCTATAGCAAAACGACTGCTTACATTCTAAACAAAGATATCAAAACACAGTCACTTTGAGTAAAACAGAGGTCCAGCATTCCTGTTCACAGACGCATGGGTATTACATCTAGCAAAGTTAAGGTGGGCTGCAAACTTCAGAAAATACAATTTTTGCACCATTTCTCTGGAATAGTCAAAGCTGAAGGTAAATGTGGGGAGTAAAGTAAGACATCAATTAATATGAATACTTCAAGCATCGTTTTGTTCACATCAAAGAGTTAATGCACATAAGTCCAGCAAAAAACCCTTAAACAGCTTTTAGGCTACTGTGTTAGAAATATCCAGACATCAACACTGTTCATTATACAAGCATTTTTGTGTGTTGGTGTTTGTTTGTAGGGGTGTGTGTGTCATTCTTCTTAGTCTGTCAGTGGAGAGGGCACGGGTTCTCATTGTGCAGAATACTGAAAAACGGTAGAAGTGTATCCGTGTGGCCTTGACTGACAGAAAGGTTGGCAATGAGGGCTGCATCCAAAGAAAGGATTCCTGTCAAGGTGACAGCTCTGAGATTGACAGGATGCTATTCTCCATGGGAACAATGTCAGTCAACCTGTCAGCCTCTCTGTACAGACAGTCTCTTACTCCTCTTAATTTGGCCTTTTGTTGTGCGGTCACCAGGTTACCTCCAATGCTCCATGTGGCCAACCTGATAAACTGCACAATGAGACACACCGAAGGCAAGAACTCGCCTCGATGAACTCTTTGCAGCGTAATGCTGTGACTGGAAGTCTCTTTGATGGTGTTAATGACAAAGGCACCTTTGTCTAGTCTTTGTCTCACTCCCCTATCTCTCTGTCACCTCGCCAACACCTCATCCTCGCCTCTTTTATTGCATTAAAATCATCTCCTGGATGGTTGGGCACTTTCTGAGATGCAAGAACTGACTCTGGTCATTGTTCTACAGTGGGGGACGATGATTTGTCTCTGTGTAAAGAGAAGTTTTCAGCATTTCCTCTGCTTGCACATTGTAAATGCTTTCCTATTGCAGCAGTCACAGGCTAGTGTGCCAAAAAGAGATAAGAGCTGACTGAAAAGAATGCTAGCCTCATTGTGTTTCTACGCTTCTCTGTCATCTGCTATCCATTCCTTACTCGCACAAATTCTACACAACAAAGTCTAATGAAGCCACTGTTGACGTCATTGATGTAGGTGTCATATCTCATATCATTTCATATCATATCTCTAAGTGAACTTTGATTCTGAAAGAAATGGTTCAGATAATTCTTTGTGAATCTCTTGCATCCTGTGCAGATATGATGTCAGTAACTCAAAATCTATTCTTTATGATATTTCTCTTAATAAGATACTGGTGTCCTACTTTACTGAATGCTGTTTTGTTATATCACTTCAAAATAATGAGATAAACAAAAGAGATTCTCTGCATTCTGGCAGAATTTAGCAAATTATTGACCGTCCTCTTCCAGCACACACACTGGAATACTGCTTTTACAAATTTAACTCGTTGCTGCACTTTGTGTCAAAATGAGCAGTAAACTCTTGTCTGGTTGTTTCATCTTAACACGGTAGATAAAGCAACATACAAAGGTCTCCAACAGGAGCCTCTCATGGTGTATTTTGTCCAGGGTAAGATGGGCTCAGTGAACATAGCCAGATGCGCCTGCGGGATTGCAAAGTGACAGAAGAGGAGGTGACACCTGATCAAAGCAGGCCTTGACTCAGGAACAAGACGTTTAACCTGAGTGCAGAAAGAAATGGAAAGGAAAGAGTCCTCTCAAAAAGTGGCTGAACTAATATAGAGCTTTTCTGATCATAT